CCGAGCCGAGCCGAGCCGAGCCGAGCCGAACGGCTGAGCAGCTCTGTTCGCCGCTTGCCACCTTGTGGAGCGGGGCGGTCCTGCAGCTGTGGGGCAGGGCCGGCTGGCTAACGCTTCGAAAACCTTCACAGCCCTCAAGTGTTTCACTCACCAGTATGACAAGGCGTTGTGGTAGTTAACTATACGCATATGCAGTGTCGGGTGTTGTACGTTTCTCAGTGTTTAAAAAGAACTGGAATATGAGTCTGGAGAAGAGGAGGCTGAGGGGAGACCTGATCGCCCTCTACAACGACCTGAAAGGAGGGTGTAGTGAGGTGGGGGTTGGTCTCTTCTCCCCGATAATTAGCGATAGGACGAGAGGAAACAGTCTCCAGTTGCGCCAGGGGAGGTTCAGGCTGGACATTAGAAAGAACTTCTTCACTGTTAAGAGTTGTTAGGCATTGGAATGGTCTCCCCAGGGAGGTGGTGGAGTCATCGTCCCTGGAGGTGTTCAAAAAACGTTTAGATGTGGCACTTCAAGACATGGTTTAGTGGACAGAGTGGCATCAGGTATACGGTTGGACTTGATGATCTTTGAGGTCTCTTCCAACCATAATGATTCTATGATTGCTGTCTTTGAAGTTAAAGCTACCTTACAACCTTGCATGGTTGCTGCAAACGGGTTTCAAGTGCATACACACATTTAACGTTCAGTATGTATTTTTAAAGTGTTATTTTGCAAAGGAGCACGTTTTCAGAAGTCATCCTGGTAACGGCAATGTAGAAAATATTATTAAAGAATTTTTTTTTTTCCCAAGCATAGATGGTGTGCTTTGCCTCAGTGCTCGTTTTTTCTAATGGAAGCTTAGTTAATGACTTGTCAAGTCTGTTTAGAAAGGGATTACCAATTTACAGGAATTACAAGCCTCAGTGTAGAACACATAATGAGTCTTAAATTTCTTCCAGCCAGTCAGGGTTTTTCCCTTTGTAATCTTTAGGCAGCTTTTTTTTCATAGTTAAACATACTGCATTGCAAAAGCCAGGTGTGATTTCATCTTGCCTGAAAGGAAGCAGCGCTCTTAAGCTAGCGGTTAGAGAGGAATTTTTCTGGAGAAGAGGCTTGATTCGTAAGAGAAATAACAATTCTTATGAGAATGGGATTTCCCAACATTACGAAATCCTTGGGGGTAGAGAGAAGATTAGAAGGGGAAATACATTTACATGTGACCACAGATCAGGATATCAAGGCTTGTGTAAGAATTCGATCTTAATCTTGAAAACCACACTGTAATGTTTTTAGCTGTTATTTTATTAGAAACTTTTAGGGGTAAACTGAATTGTAAAAGTGCCATTCTGTTACCTGTAAATCACAGTAATCTTGTACTGTATTAAACTTTTTTTTTTTTTTCAACTTGAATACTTGGCTAGTCTTGAGGGATTTTTAATAGCTGGCAGGCTGTGGGGTCCCCCAAAAGCATCAGGGTTCGTTCAGGAGGTACTGCTCTAACAGTCAAAATCCTGAAGAGGCAGTGCCAACATCCTCCACTGGTTTGCATAAGGCACTTTTGGAGCAGTTAACTCTGAATTTCAGCATGAGAAGTGGTGTATCCTTGTGAGAAAAGCAGTGGACATAACAATATCAGCAAAGCGGGTTGGGCAGTATCTGAACTTTGAGCGTCTGGCATTTGTTTGTGACAGCGTACCTGAAACTCAGAGTCGCCTTGAAGGATTTACGTGACAGTGGGATGTCAGTAGAACCTACAGTGTAAATGGTAACAGTAATTAAGACTTATGAATTTCTAAGGGTCATAAGTGCCACTGTTAGTGAACAAAGTCCCCTTGTCATACGACAGAGGTGAGTCTAACAGGCACTCGTTCGACTTCCTGATTAATACTGCAAAACTTTCTGGGCGTTGATTTAGTACGGGAGTCCTTTCCTGACACTGATTTCAGGGGGCTTTAAAACTGTTTCATGGGTCATTACATCGACATGGGTGGCACTGTACTTGACTTACATGTGAGCTGCACTTACTGGTTTTCAGTTCAAGAGGGAACTTAACATTTCCTTTCTTTTCCCTGTTCATGTGTAAAAGAACAAGTGTTAGCAATTTTTTCACAACTAGTGGCATTAGGTATATGTAAAGGTACATGTGTAAGATTATTTTCTAAGACCAGGTGACTGACTTTTGTGTAAGCGTGGTGGAAGTTTTACTAGGGCTATTACCAGTTCGTTGTCAGTGGTGGTGAGGTCTCTGTGCTTTAACTTGTATATGAATGCCTACTGTATACCGAGTGCATGCTGAGGCTGCCGAACTGCTGGTTGCTTGCATGCACTAGGTTTTTGTTGTAACAATAATGTATATTAAAAAATAGGGAGGGGAAAGAGCCAAATTGATACTATATCATTACTTATTCTAAGTAATATATAATGTCAGTAGGGCTGTACTTTGATTATAATAATAGTTGAACAAAGTGTGAAAGATTTGAGATGAAGAGGGAATGCAAAGGAACAACAAGAGCTGCCTTAGTGAACTTTACTCAGAACAGGGTAACAAATTTGAGAAATGGAAGCAAACAAGTAATAAAAGGTCACTGGTTAAGCTGAGTTGATTTTCATATGAGTAGACATACTGCATCCTCTCTTTGCCGCTGCATTCAAAGTGGAAAAGCCTTTGAAGAGACCTCCTAAAGGCTTTCTGCTGCAGAAGCTTGTATAGTGCAGCTTTGTTGAGCTGCTCAGAATCATAAAGCCAGCTGAAGAGACCGATCACTTAAAAGTAAGTAACACACACACACACCCACCCCCCCTTAACTTTGTGGAAGGAAAGAAGGAGATCTAGACCTTATGTTTAGAAGCACTGTAAAGGATAAGCTCTGCATAAAACATTTCTGGGATATGTCTGCCTCGTATTTGAGTGGTTGTGGTATGTTTTTCTTTCTCCTGCAGTGAAAATAATTGAGGGCCAGATACAGGCAAACTGAGCATCCAGACTTCTCACTTGAATAATGCAGAGTTTATCTGCCTCTCTGCCTCACCATGATCTCCAAGGAACTGGTTTGTCCTCTTGTATTTACCCAGTGAATTGGTTTGTAAATAAATGAACTTCACAAAAATAAATATTTCTCTATCTGTTTTGTACTTGGGGACACAGAGGGAATGAAGTGACATACCCAAAACACCCAGCAAGTCAGTGTCTGGGTGAGGTTTGTAGGGCTCTAAGCTCCATCTCTGTCCGCAGCACTTTCACAGATCTACTCTGAATTTAGATTAGAGAATGACTCCTTGGAAAAAACTCAGAAGATAATTTTGTGCAAAAATAATCCGTGGAGATAGAGATCTCAGAATTATTTTCAAGTTCTTACAGAAAAATCCTTTCTATCACCAGAATGACTTTTTGTGACAAGTTTCTTTTGCCAATCTCAGTGCCTCTAATTGCAGTTGAGTGACACACTTAAAAAAAGACATGTGGTGGGTCTCTAATGTGCTGTACCACTAGTTACTCTGCTTCCTAAATTTCACGTGTGTGACAGAGTTATCAGTAATATGTAACATTGACTGCTTACATGTAAATCTGCTGATAGGCAGAGAGGGAAATGGATTGAAAACCAATCCCAACCTTTAAGGATGAGAAACCACCCTACCTACTGAAGTCATTCAATAGGAGGAGTCATGAATTGCAGAAGCTTGAATACAGCTTTGCTTTCTGCTTCCTACTCTACATGTCACTTACTTCCTTCATTAGTGGCATTCAGTTAGGTTAGAAATCTAACATACTATAAGGAACCACTGGGTTTACCACTTGTCTGTGGATATTACGTATTACTTTTCTCCATTTCCACATGCTGAAATTGTGTTTCTTCATCTGTTTGCTATACTGGGTGAAATCAGGTAAGAACCATTAGCTTATTCTTTGCGTTGTAGTCTCTTGGCTTTGTTCAAGCATCAAAAAAATGAATATTCCTTCATTTAAATTGGCCAAAAGATTAAACCATGTGAATTATGCCTAATGGAGCGGACGATTAGTAAAGAGAAGTTACTTGCTTTGAAACTGAGACGTAAGTTTTCATTTTAAAGTAAATAGAACAAAGCCAGATACTATATCTCTGGCTGTACTTTGCACAGAGACACACTCAGGTATGTGCACTCTGTACGAAGTAAAGAGGTAGTTGTGAAATAGTCTTAACATATTAACGTAAGTTTATTGTTTATTGCGGATTTGATAGGTTGGCAAGTTTTCAAGTTATGCGTTATGCTTTAAATAGTAAAATTTAGTTACAAAAAAGTCAGTGTGCAGTTAAGATTTTTCCCCTTTTCAACCGCAGAAGATACTTACAACACTTAAGAAATGTACACAGGAAAGTTAAAATTGTATATTAACTGTGTTAAACTGCACATGTAACAGCCCTATGCCTGATTGTACAGAAAAGTGTATGTGAGTGCTCCCACAAGTGTGCACAAAGGGGAGCTGGGTACTGCTTCCAGCAATCAATCAGAAATAGGAATTTGAAAAACCTTCCCTTAATGGCTCCTCACTAAACAATTCAAAGTATTAAATCTATAAATCTATTTATAGTACTTACCTAATTCCACGGTAAAGACATAATCTTTACTTTTTTCCTCTATTTACTTTTCAGATAACTGCTGTCATTTCACAGTCATAAGTAAATGAGTTGTTTCCCTTTGACATTTGCCAGCTAGTAAATAAGTTTTGTCAGTTAAAATAATTTCGTTGTGATAGATTTTTCACTTCCATGAACCAGACCGTGTCTCTGTTTTATGTCACTGTCATTCCACTGGCTTTAGAAGAATTAGTTCTTATTTCTACCAATCAATTGATAAGAAATAAAAAAAAAATAAATGGAAATGGAGGAACACTTCAACAATATCTTAGCACGAATCTTTCATATTTTAGATATATCGGAGTGAATCATAAGGATCAGTGCTTAAACTTGGATTTAAGAACAATGTTAGTCAAAAATGAGAGAGTTTCATGTTGTAGCTTTGAATCTGAATGGCAAAAAGTAATCAAGTGGCTGTTTTTTATTTTAGGTTTGTATATGACATTTGTGTAATAGAATTTGTATTCTAGTTATATCATTGTGTATTATTATGAAAACTAGAGATTAAATGTGACACATTCTATTAACATCTCAGTATCATGTCACATGGTTTTGAATATTTTGAACATTATTTTCATTAAATTCAAGGCAACTGAAGCTGAACAGCTCTCAGTTTCAGAACTTCTTCTTGGGTGAGTCTGAGTCTGAGCAATGAAATGGGTTGCCTTCCTGTATCACTAGTTAGTCAATAAGCTGTCCAGTAATCTCAGTAAAAGTTACTGAAGTTATTCAGTGTCTAAATGGGAGAACAGTGATATTTATTTTGAAATATAAATAATTCTAACTTTTCCCACATGTGGTAACTGTAGCTATTGTCGTAAAGTGATGATAGACATGGAACTTTGACTGATTTGAGACGGAAAATTTCAGGCCATTTCTAACACTCTGTACCTTCAGCCCTGCTCTGGTTTGCAAATATCCATTATTTTTTGTGATGTCCTGTCCAGAGGTGACCAGTCTAGTCATTGTAGGTACATGGTTTGGCCTAGAGGGGATTGGTCTAGTTCCCTAAGTGAATTGGTGTCTTTAGTGTCTTTACCGCATCTTTACTGCACCTTAATTGCTGTAATTCACATTGTTTACCTTTGTTTAGATCTGCACTGTGGTATCGAATACATTTTTCAGATCCCTTGTAACCCCCCCTGCACTTGCCTTTCGCAGCTTTATAAACTGATGAGGGTTCGCTGTCTGTCGCAGATGCGTAAATGTGGTGGATTTGGTTCTGCCTACTAGCTGCTTGCTGGGAAAAGGAGAAGAGCTAGAACTGCTTTTCCGATAACTCAAAAATTCTGAGAAATTCAGGTTACTTTCTAAATTATTTTTTAAGGAACCGAGTAGGCACTATTTCCCTTCCTACTTTTGCTTTCTGGACGTTGACTTCTTTTACAAATTTGTTAATGACAGAAAAATTGAGAAAGGTGCCATCAAATTTCAGACAAAAGCCTTGTGTAAAGTAGCATAGCCCACTAGAAGTCAAGAGATGGGCCCAGATTTCTTTGGCCATAAACCAGCTAACACCATAGCGAAGGTGAAGAGGCCGTACAGAAGAACTGGGATGGGCGTCGGCATTGTGCCCAGAATCCTGAAGTGGCTTATCCACACAATGGGACCTCAGCAGCCAGAGGATACTTTTTTAAAGCATTAACTTTTGATGTTGATAAGCACACAGGGGAAACATTAAGTCCTTTTAGACTCTTTTGAAAATAGCCATCCTTTTGTTGATCCTGACTGATCTACGGCTTAACCTTGTATGCTATAACTGAGTACAGAAATGCTAAGTACTAGAGTTTTTATGCCTTTATGTGTGTTGACCTTACAGATTTTTATTTTTTTGAACTCAGAACAGGATCCTTTTTTTCTTCTTTCTTTGTTTCTTGGTAATGGTGTCCTTATGGTGATCCAAAACTAGGGAAGGGTTCTGGAACATCCCGGTACTGTCAGGTCACTGTTTCTTGTTGCTAGATCAAACAGTAAGGCCTAAGGATTGGCAGCTTTGCCACCCTGGCTGAAAGAGGAAGAAACAATTACAACGGTCTTCCTGTTTATACAGCACACACTAGTTGTGAAAAAATTCTGAGAACCTAAATTTCATGGTTAAGCAAAGAATATTATCAACAGTGACTACTAATTTATATTTGTTATGGAGAAAATACATTGTTCAGGAGCAATTAGAAAGGTTAATTTTGTATTTGAAGGGTTCAGAGGAGCATAGTGATATCTGCAGAGTCATTAGTTAAACTGTGGCTCCTCGTTAGGAGTGGCTGAGGGAGCTGGGGGGGTTTGGTCTGGAGAAGAGGCGGCTGAGGGGAGACCTGATCGCTCTCTACAATGACCTGACAGGAGGGGGTAGCCAGGTGGGGGTCGGCCTCTTCTCCCAGGCAACTGATGGCAGGACAAAAGGGCATAGTCTGAAACTGCGCCAGGGGCAGTTCGGGCTAGAAATGAGGAGGCATTTCCTCACGGAAAGGATCATTAAGTATTGGAATGGGCTGCCCAGGGAGGTGGTGGAGTCCCCGTCCCTGGAGGTGTTTAAGAAAAGACGACGTGGCACTTAGTGCCATGGTCTGCTTGACATGGTGCTGTTAGGGCAAAGGTTGGAGTCGATGATCCCAGAGGTCTCGTCCAACCAAATCCATTCTGTGATTCTGTGATTCTGTGATTCTGTTGTTCACTGCACATTCTGGCACCTCATTCCAAAGGTCTGGAATGAAGAAAATGGAAGTTCTTCACTTTTAGTGGAAAAACGTGGAAAGAAAAGTGAAGAGGTGGTGTTTCAGGTGGTCTAACTCATCAAATGCCTGTCTAACTTTTTGATCTTTTTCAGATGAGGAGAAAAAATGTCCTGAATTTACAGATCTTGATATAGGTGATGCTTTGTCTGGAACAGAACTCCGAGTCCAGCTACTGCTATACACAAGGGAAAATCCAAATTGTTCTGAGAGACTCATTGAACACAATGTTACTGCGTCTGCACACCTTAATACCTCCAAGAAAATCATCTTTGTTATTCATGGCTTCAGACCAACGGGATCTCCACCGGCATGGCTAGGTGACATGAAGAAGCTTTTACTGTCTTCGGAGGATATTAATCTCATTATAGTTGATTGGAATCGTGGTGCTACAACTGTGAATTATATAACTGCTGTTGAAAACTGCAAAAAAGTCGCAGAAATACTGAAGAACTATGTTGACCAGATGCTGGTAAGACAGAGAGTTACATCTGTTCTGAATAAGTTTAAATAGCGTAGTTTGAGCGGGAATGAGTATTTAAAATATGTCTAAAGAGAACAATATCCAATAACCTTTCTTTACCAAAGTATTTACCAACTTTGCACACAGTTATTACTGCATATCTTTAACTTCAACTGAGTTCTTATTTCCTTTTCACTGAATTATGCCTTAGAGCGCATCTTATTTCTTTAGCCAGCTGGAGGTTGGAGGTCTTCTGGAAAATGAAGGCACCAGCGGGGAGGTGAAGTGAGAGATGTTAAAATTGTATGCAGCATTGAAATTTTACCAAAGCATTGCACTACTATTTTTACTATTAAACTACTATAATTAAAGATTTTAAATGAAAAAGCAATCACTGACAGAGATATAAATATTTGTTCCAAAATGATATAAACTTCTTGATTCTAGAGGGAGTTGCTGAAACAATTGTTAATGCTAGTGGTCTTAACTGGGCTTTAGATTTATTGCTTAACCAAATGAACAAAACATGTTATCATCTCATTTATGCCATTGTTAGATTTATTGCTGGATTTTTATTCTGTTCTCACTGCTTCTTTTCCCAGCCATTCTCAGAAATTTTGAATGCTGTGCAGTAAGAAAATATCCATGTGGAATTTGAGTAAAAAACCCAGCATTTTGAGAAAATCTGAGGTGAAAGTAGAGAAAGCCTATCAGAATCTGTCCTCTGGGACTAGATATAGTGATAACAATTTGTAATTATGACAGTAAATTTATTGTTATGGAATAGAAAAATGAAATAGGACTTTAAGAACAGTCTCCAATCCAGAGTGGGTTAAAAAGGTGTATTTTGCAAATTTCTTGATGCAGATTTTTGGTTAATTGCTGATTACAGATCTGCCTGGCAAAGCAATGACAGCATGGCATGCTTGGGCAGATCTTCTTGTGCGAGCCATCAAAGTGATGGTGATGGGGTATGTTGTGTCCCACAACGATCAGTTGCATACTTGCAAGCTGTTGTGAGGCCTTTGTTCCTTCTTTTTGAGAGAAGTTAATATGTCAGATCCCACATATCATCCCATCACTTTGCAGAGATTCCAACAGGTCTGCTGATACTGTTTCAGACTTCTGCAGTAGGTTTTTTTTAAGATACTGCCTGCTTTGTAGAATGAGCATCTTAAAGCTTTCCTGCAGGTATGCATTTGGCACCATTATTCAGCACTTCTGTGGCAGAAGTCTTTGTTAATGGTATTCTGGTTTTAATTTATTTTATTGGAAGGATAAGGCAGGGGGAGAAGGGTTTTTTTCCTAGTTCATAGTTTTGGTTCATCTTTCTTGTATCTGATAAATACCTTCCTCTTCCCTCCCCTGCACCCCTTCGAATTAGTGTGACGTTTTGGAAGAGATGTGACTCAAGCTTCCTTTTTACTTTTTTCTAGTCAAAGAATTTCATAATTACTACATAGTTTAACTAGCACAGAATGGCAAACTGAAAAGAACTTTGTAATTTCCATTTGTTTTGAAAGTTAGAAAGTTAGAGATATAACTTAGATTACTGCCAAAAAATGAAAACTAAATCAGTCTACAGATGTCTATGTAGTTAAGTGTGTGTGTGGTTGTGGCTTTGGTGTTTTTTTTCCCGATAGGTGGGTGGAGCTTCTCTCAACTCTATGTATATGATTGGAGTTAGTCTTGGGGCTCATATAGCTGGTTTTGTTGGCCAGAAGTATAACGGCAAACTTGGCAGAATTACAGGTAAGGCTTTTAATCCCAATACATGTATTCTGATGTACCTTGTATTGTTGTCCTAGCTGCGCATCATATAGATGCTAGCACTGAAATATCAACAAATGAGAATGGACTATTTAGTAATATACACAAGGAAGAATGTATCCCTGATAGAAAATTGTGAAAGTCTGCCTTCAGGACATAAATTACACTTGCAATTTTCCAACCTGCTTGCCTGTACTATCTCAAATGAAAATTGAGTGCTACATCCAAATGGCACTGAAGTTAAAAGGTATGCTGCCTGGTGTTCTGTCTAGTTGGTGGAGCAGGTCAGGTCCCTCTGAAAGGAAGTTCAAAAGCTCTTGGTCAGACCACAGGAATCAGGTACAAGGATTTAGTTTCGGTTTGAGGTATCTGAACATGGTGTAAGCTTTAGTACATTAGTATGTTGGTACTTTGAGTAGATCAGGTGTGCAACCCATGTATGGATACTGCAAATTTTATCTCATACTTGTTGCATCGTCAGCATTGCCATCTGCAGGAGTGGTGCATACAGTGAACACTGGAGTACCCTCATGTGGGTACTTCTTTCAGGACTGCACAAAGTTTAGGATTAAATTTTAGATGCTGGTTCCTAGGGCAGAATCCACAGTGCTGATTTAGTGCCCAGGCCCCAAATACTTCTTGTGGTGAAAGAGCAAAAGTGCAGCTGGCGTGTTGAGAAGGAAGCTGACTAAGCTAACTATCAGAAAAGGTGCTAAGAGGAGAAGAGACTGTTGGATCCTGATAGTGTTTAGGATTTAAGACAGCAGCTGTTTTCAGGCTGAAAGGAGGCCGTTACCTGTCCTTGAGATTCACAGCTCCAAACCCCCTCTTCAGAATACCTAAGTAATTTTTTTCCCAAAATGTAAAAGGAACCAGTAGCAAGCCTTAAGAAAGGGAATTAGAGACTCCTCCTCTTTTTGTACAGTAATCTGAAAGTCAGGGCATTTTCTAGGAGTCTAATAGGCTCCAGCTATATTCCTTTGGTTAAGAATACTTGTTTCCGCTTGTTTACACAATTCCCTAGAGTTTGCTGGCATCACTGGTTGGGACAGTCTTGGTTGCAATGCTAGGCTAGCAGGTCTGTGTGCTCTCTACGCTAACTGGGAGCTAGTAGATTCATGTATTTTCTGAACTCAGATGCTCACAGGTAAATGGAATTATATGAACTGTATCAATCACCTTCTTATGATTACAGATATGGATGAATAAAGGCAAAGATTGAGTAGTCCAAACACACAAGGCTCATAACCTCTTATGTGACTGTTTTGATACTTTTTCTTTCAAACAAGTTGAGCCAGTGGCCCAAAATGATGTTGTAAATATGAGATCTTTTTAAAAAAGAGAAAAAAATATTTTCTTCCTCAATGTTTGGAGGTTTTGGAAATATAAAACAAATTAATGGACTAAACCAATGACCTTTGTCACATAGGGTACTATGAATGTGAATTCCTGGCATTCCATGATTGACTGTGGTAGTTTGGGTCTTGAGAGAGAACCTTCCCAGATTAGTTCTTAAAGCACATCTGGCAGTTAAATCATAATACAAATTTGAATAATTTAAGGTCATACACTGTCCCTGTCTCTCAGTCGGTGGGAATGTAATTAGGAGTCGTTTAAGTGTAGCAAGATGTTTTGCCTTGACAGCTGTATTTTCCATCCTTGCTGCTTTTTCTTTTCCTGTCTTTGTCTGAGCTTTTGTTGTCAAGAAAATAAGAGCAGAGCAAACCTCAGCTAACAATTTTGCTTTCCTATGAAAGACAGAAATTACCATCTTGAAAATTATCACGCTTCAGGGCTGCACTACAATAATTCCCTATCCCTAAGATGAATAAGAATACACAGTGTTTATACTTCAAGTACTTTGCCACCCAAATCCCCTCCTCCTTGATATAAAGTGCTTTTTGTGGATCTTGGTTACAGTGTCTTTTGTCATAGTGGAGTTTTATTTTGAGTATAAGATTTCCAAACCTCCTTCAGGTGAAAATGTGGTCAAAACCTAGTATTTCACTTGGTTGTATATAACAATTGTTTTTCTATAAGTAATTTCAGCAACAATGGATGAAATGACTGAGGCATGTTTGAAATTTTCTCCATCCAAAATGTCTTCATCTTGTGTTCTAGTGGTGATAGCAGTTATATTGTGGGTTTCATTTTTATGAAGTACCTATTAGGCATGGTATTTTCTGGGGAAAAGGACAAAGTTAATTCTCCTGATTTGATCCCTAATGCTGTTGGCTTATATTCATCTGGAGAACTGGGAGATGAGCACAACTAATTAGGGAGAGAGAGAAATTTAAAGATATGGGTTGACCAGTCCTGTGGTAGGAACCCTTGCTTTGTTTACCAAGTTCAAGAATGGAAACTTGAGAAGAATTGTGCTGGGTTTTATTGTTATTATTATCCCAGGAAAATGAAGAGTCATTGATGAATAATGCTCAAATGTCAGTCTTGTATATATCTGTAGAAACAGACCCCAGGATTTGTAATGCTAGTGTTATTTTCATTTAGGTCTTGACCCAGCGGGCCCTTTGTTCACTCGACAATCACCAGAAGGGAGACTGGATCATACTGATGCGCAATTTGTTGATGTAATCCATTCAGATACTGATGGTAATGACATAGCCTTAACTTTCCTATTTCAACTTGAGGAAAGGCAGGAAAGCAAAAGAGAAGGAGTAAGCTATTTCCATAATATCCAGATAGTCCTGCAGAAGTATATTTTGTGTTATTGGGTGGATTCCTGTGCTGTTGCTTTCTAACGAGGTCTGTACTTTTGAAATCATACTGTATGTTATGATGCCTGTTCATCGAGAAATTGAAACTCAACTTGGCTAATGCCTTAAGCAACGATGGTGTGTTTTGTTCAGTTCTGATATGAGTAGCCGTGTTATTGAGTGAGTGAAGTTTCATGACTGAACCTTAAAATTTTGAAATAACTTTTATGTCTGTATCAGTTTCTTTAATAATATTAAAAATTAAGCATTTTACGATACAAATTTATATGTGAAGTTGTAAAATACCTATTTTTGTAATGTTCCAATTATGTGACTAAAAATAATGTGTGGTAAATAGGAATGTAGGTCAGACTGAGCTAAATCTTACTCATGGTCTTTTATAGGACAGATACAGATTTTTCTGTTTTGATATACTGCTTATATTAGTGTAGCTCAGAATCCAATGTCATGTGCAAAAAAATGAAAAATCTTACTCTAATGAAAACTATGTTGGGAAAGAATTTTGGTTGCTGGAGAGAACATGAGTTTCATAAATTTCTTTGTGCAAATGCTGTCTCAGCTACAGCACTGAATAGTTGCTTCTGTTCTTTCCTTATTCTTTTGTGGCAGTAGAGTCTTACACAAATTTGTATATATTTGTGTACAGCATTTTACATGTGTATAATTTTCTTAAAAAAACCCATGGATTTTAACTCATAACATGATTTCCATTTACGGAACAAAAGACCAGTATAATTGTAAAAATTTTCTTTAAGACCTCCATGTTATTTTGTAATGAATGTGATGAGAAATAGTTGACTGCATAGTTCTGTTTATGCTTTTTTGATTCATGATGTTTTTACTTTAGCACTAGGTTTCAAGAAACCTTTAGGAACCATTGATTTCTATCCAAATGGAGGAATGGATCAGCCTGGTTGTCCACAAACAGTATTCAGTGGTAAATAAAAATGTGTTCAATTAATAAGAAAAGAGTCTGAGATCAAATCAAAAAAGATTGAACTGAATTCAATGGATACTGCACATATTCAGTAATATGGGAGCTGAGGGCATTGTGTTCTTTCTTTTCCATCCCCGCTCAGCGAATGAGAAACAACAAAGATATTTGACAACTTTTCTTAAAATAAAGATCTTCCTATAAGCATATGTATTCCACCATACTATTTTTATTGGTATGATGGAATTACATTATAATATTATATATACAATCTGCATATAGTGATCATTATTTTTCTGTGCTTATATATGGCTAGGCATGGGGGAAGATGTTTGTGTCCAAGTGGTTTGGACAAGATCACTTGCATGTGACATGGAAGGCAAGGCATTGAAGTTTTCACTGTGTCTTAGGTTCCTCCTGGTTGGCAATGACAAACTAGGTTTTGAACAGGTCTTTTAGGCTCTAGGATGAAAACAGTTTTATAACATGATCTTTTGCTGCAGAATTTTGCTTAGTTCAACCTCCGTAAATCTTAGGCAAGGTTGCTGCCCGTTGTTTTTGTTTACTCTTTTTGGATATGTTTATATCTGTCTACGTTTCTATTACTAATCTGTACAGTGCTGCTACAAATTAGAGGTGCTGCAAAAGCATGAGGCTTCCACTTGTTTGTCTGAGTATGGGAGAATCCCTTAAGACTCAGGATCATCTTCATCTGTACAATTCTCACAGTTTGTTTTGCTAGGAGAGGAAGGAATTTATTACCCCAAAAAAACTAGAGAGAAGAATCTCTGAAGTATTCCTCACGGTAATTTTTCTGCCACAACGTTCTGCGCTGGATGCAACAAGGCAAATTTTAACTCAGACTCAGGCTTTATAACAAAAAATTATGTAAATTTGATAGGACTTAGTAGACTATTTCTTACATATAAAAGCCTGTAGACTTTTCTCTGTACCTGTAACAGTCAAAATAGTCTCTAATTTCTTCTTCTTGTGTGTGTGCATCCACTTTTTACACTTGGTGGCCAACTAACCAGAGAATAAAAGCATGGCTAACTAAGAATGACTCAGGTAAACGGGATTACTTTGATAACACCTTTTCTTTCATGAAGAAAAATGATCACATATTATTGGCGTATTTTGGTTTTTCTTTTTTGAAGGACTTCAGTATTTTAAGTGTGACCATCAAAGATCTGTCTTCCTCTTCTTATCATCTTTGAAAAGAAGGTGCAACATAATAACATATCCTTGTGACTCTTACTTGGATTACAAAAGAGGAAAATGTCTTGATTGTGAAGCTTTCCAGCCGTTGTCCTGTCCAGTACTGGGTAAGTGTTATGGTATCTGCTCTGGGCTGGATGAGATTTTCTGGGAAATCCAGGCTAGCTCTTTCTGGGGCTTCTCCAGAGATCTGTAGTATCGTGTTAAGGGATCTGTAGAGATTAATCATGTGCAGAGCTGCATACAGTTTAAAGTGGTTTAAAGTTTATGGCTTTGTCTGCTTTATAGTTCTCTCTGTTAGACACGGGTGCTGAATGTTCCTAATCTTTGATCATTATGCTTTCCAGTTTGAAATGGTTTCACAATGTATTTCCTTTCTGCAGAGAAACTGCTTCTACTTAGTTCCTCACTTTATCCTTTCACAGTGTGTTAACCTCCCTAGAGTACCTGGGCTTTTTATTTAAGAGTAATAATGTTTATAGCAACTTTGTGGTTTCTCTGGCTCTTCTTTTGGAATCAAGCTTTTATTTGGAGGGGTGTTTAGTTGTTTGGGGTTTTGTTGCTTTTAGAGAGGATCTGGGGAGAGTTTGAAAAGATCTACAATAGTGTGAGCATTTCCTAGTTGGCAGGGGTTTTTTAAGAATGAAATTTTAGAAGTATTTAATTAGAATTTAACTTTCAATTCATACCTTGTCTTTTTTACATCCTTATATTAGGATGTACACCCTATATTAGTTAGATCAGGTTTGAAGAAAAAGCGTAGATAGACAAATCTCTATGCTATTTTATGATAAAACCCAACCATAACGGGACCTTATAGTAAGGCAAAGACTCCAGGCCTTCCCCAGCATGGTTATTAGCCATGCCTGATGCACTTACACAGAATGTCTGAGCTAGAGGTGGAGGAGTATTTGACCAGTCAGCAGCACCCCCAACCCCCCACTCACGCTCCCTTTTTTTTTTTTAATAACCGTAAAACCTACGAGCAGGAACCTGAATCTGGGAACTGAGAGAAGACGCAGCATCCCTCCACTGCAAGCTTTCCTAGTTGCTGCCTTGCAGTGGCAGCTCTGCAGCCTGGAACTGGCCCTTGTTGTCCACTCTAGGTAAAGAAATCAAGAGGGAGAGAATAGCATCAGCTGTTTTAGAAACAAGGACTGTTATCAAGCCCCAAAGACGATAAGCATAGAATTGTATAAACCAAAAGTTCTTTCTACATTGCATCCATAGGCTGAGGAAGTTTACCAACTATTTAACATTTTTAAAAATAATATCCACAATTATAGACTAAAGGGTTTAAAAACATTTACTTTAATGATTCAAAAAAGAAAGGAAGAAATTTTACCTAATGTGAAGCTGTTCTGTAACTGTTCTCTGCAAGTATGTGGGCTACTTTCGGGGGTTTGTTTTTATTACCTCTGCAGAAGTTTATAAGCACTATTTTTTGGAGTTAGTATTCTAGACTAAATAGATTCCAACTATTACATTATGACAATTTTAATGATACTAGTATATTAGAAGAATGAAATACTTGCATACTACATTCTATTATGCTCAGAGGATTCTTGCATTTCCCAAGTCAATTTACTTTCTCAGAGAATATTTAAGAAAAATTAAAGTGGAATCTGTCACTTTGGGTGAGATTCTTTTGTGTAATTACATGTGTATCATGATTTTGCTAAAGGTCTGAAATGAAATATTTAAACTTTGGATTTCAGGTTATTATGCTGATAGATGGAAAAAACTGTTAATCCCAAAGAGTTCATCAACAAAAGCTTATTTTGATACCTCAGATCAAGACCCATTCTGCAGTGAGTGACTGAATACATACATAAATTCTTTATGAAATGTTATGGCTGTTATTTGTTAGCTCATCTGGAGTGAAAGCATGTTAAAATTAGAAAGTTATTGTTAACTGCTGTGTAAAATGGTGTAATAAACCACAAACTAAATGTCAGTTCACAGACTGGAGGAAGAAGAAGATTGTGGCAGAAGAGTAAGCAATACATGAACTGAGAAAGAAATGTGACTTTAAAAGTAGGATGAACTGCTGAGAGGAAGAGGGAAGCCAGAAAATGAGAATCAAGTGACAGGGAAAAATCTGGACTGAGAGAACCTGCGTAGATGGGATCATTGCTGCCGTTTTCAGAGAGCAAGAATGGGAAGCGAGACTGCCCCGAGTGGGGGACAAAAAAGAGACACCTCTATGTTCCACTCCAGGAGGAGAGCACCCCACAATCAAATAAAGCTACTCCAGCTTTTAAAAGTCCATGTCTCCCTAGGAGTAAAACAGTGGAGGGAAAACTTAGCTGGCTGTTTCAGAGTTATACTCTATGGGAATGAATGCTCATGGTGTGGGCTTTAGCTGCAATAGTTTAGGGATCTACCTATCCATGCAGAGGTCCAGTTTAGATTCTCATCCAATTTCTCTTTCTGTTAACAGACTTTACCACCATAAGCAAATGTTAGCACACTCTTCTAATTGGTTATGTTTAAGGTTGTTTGATTTGGGATATGGGGATAGGCTTACAGGGAATTCAAGTGAGGTTGAGTTTTCCCATTAGCTTTTTCCACCATCTTGGCAAGTTTTGTAACCAGGGACTGAATATCTCTTTTATAGTGGTGGTCATGCTTACTTACATCACTATTTCTTCCAAAGGACCAAGGAGAGGTTAATGAAGATGTGATGGATTTTACATAAAATAACTCCCATTCCCAGTGGTCTTTCAGCTCAACCCAAACCTGCTACCGCGGTTCTCCCCTGCTCCTGTCTGCTTGGACTTTGTTCTTCCATGCTCTCAAGGCTTCACAGGCCACTAGGTCTGTCTCCTCATTCATTCTTCTGGCAGGAAAATACGGCTTTGCTTTCACTGTCACACATATTAAAATCTGGGCGTTCAAAAAAATCCAACTAGGCAGAATCCTGATGATGGAAAGAGTACGTTGGAGAAGGAAAAGATTATGTGTAGTATTCTGGGACAGGGGTGGTTAGAAGCGAAAAAAGAGGGGGAGAAATACTACCAAACATAGTTGGAGGCACATGAAGAGGACTAAGAAACATTGTAATGACAGCATAAATTTAAGGCAAAATATGCAAAGTCAGGAAGAAAAATGAGTCTTTTAAACCAGTCTGAAAAAGAGCGTATTTATTAACTACAACCTTATTTTAATTCTTAGATATTTGAAAACATGAGGAAATAGAAATAAACAAGAGGTCTTAAAACTAAGTGAAACTCTAAACCTGATCAGGACAAACTTTTCATACCAGGTGAGGCTTGGTCTTTTAGGAGAGAATGTTAAAAAGCAACATGCCAAAAAAAAAAAAAGCTTGAATTGGCCTCCTTACTTTGGGAGTAGTAAAGGGGTGTTTTCTCTGGGTAGCCATAGCATGGTTACAGTACTGGTGGTGATTACAGAAGTGCGGTAGAAGGCCGGGTCAGGGTTTCTGAGGGCAAAGCAGAGCAGGTCAGGTCCGTGCCAGTGCGCGGAGGGTGCCAGCCCCAGGTACCCAACCTGTTTTCCTGGGGCCGTGGGCCTTCCAGGGGAGGGGGAGAAGGGGCTGGAGCATGGGAAAGCAGTCAGATCCCTCTCCTCTTCCTCAGTCTTCCCCATGTAGTTTTTTTAGTATCCACACCGAGGTTTTGGCAGGTTGACTTCTCCGAGGGAAGGGTGCTTCGAGGACTTGTACTGCTGCACCTGCTCAGGCTGGGCAAGCAAGGCGTGGGAATAATGGCTCTCTTCAGCGTTTACCACCTGATTAATCTGCTCACCTAGCTAACTGCCCGCTTTGCCTGTACATAAAGCTTGTGCCAATGCTGTTCCTCCCCTCTCCCTGCCAGTGTACCCCAGCTGTTTCCTGGACATGTCACTTTTGTGGGTAATGTGATAGTGTTGCTACACCAATAGCTCATATCTCCCCTCTTTGCAGAGCTTGGCAGAACCTGAAGGTGCTAGTTAGGGCTTGATTTTGCATTTTTTCTTTAGGCAGGTCAAACTCTCTGTGTTAATTCTGATGGTAGCTTTCTGATGCAAATCCTTTCCATGTAAGAACTGGAGGAAATGATACACTAATTACACAGAACTCCAAGTAGCCATTTGGTAGAAGCTAATTTTTGTCAATACCCACCTTATTCTGCTTTGAGCTGGTAACTTAGAAGTAAAGAGTCACTGTTCCTATCATCAACCAGTGAATACTTTTAACAGGGTGATAATAGCAACTATATGTGAATCTTATTATTTCCTATTTCTTTTTGCAGTGTATAACTACTTACTGGATATTACTACCTGGAATAAAAGCATTAGGAGAGGTTTCATTAAAGTTAAAATAACAGACTATACTGGAAACACAGTAGAATCCGAGATGAACAGGTATGTTGTGCTTTGTCTCTAGATCTTTTTTATCACTTTATAGGACTGATTTTCTGAGTTTCATAAACCTTTTAACTTGTTAACTTTTCAGTCAAAAAAGTATCATGGGGTTGTTAAGACTTGGCCATGGCTCCTTTTCCTGAATATGGCTCAGTGTCAGAGGCAATGCTCTGCACACTGAAATGATCTTCTTTCCATTTATGAACTAACCCAGGTCCTTGCATGGTACTGGTTTGAATCCGGTTCTAGGTGTCCTTCTTCTGAATGCTCAAAGTCAATACATCTTACAAGATTTCTGTTCTTAATAATAATACTTAGCAATAATGAATGTTACTCAGTTAACAAAATCCTGACTAGAAATATTATTTTTCTTTAGTGAAGTTTCAACGTTTCAGCAATATAAGAGAGTCAAAATACTAACTGGATTTTACCGAGACCTTGACAAAATATCAAAAATTTCCTTGACCTTTTCTACGAAGACTTTAGTAGGACCAAAACACAAGCTTAGGGTTCTCCAGTTGAGGCTGAAATCTCTGAATAATCCAGAAAGGTAAGTGTTTGTCATGTATCAAAGTTGTGTATCAACTAAACTGTTCAGGATGTTTCCTCAGAAATGTGTATTTCCCTCTATTGATTTTTTTAATTGCATATTCCTAAGTGCATGAATATCCTTCTCATCCTACCTAGGATCAAATTTATCATGTGGAAGAGCTTCTCTGTACATTAACATATAATGCTCAGCACCATTGTACACACAGATGTCACGCATCCTGCTTGTTACAGTAGGATGATGCTGTCGTCTGGTCACAATGGGTTTTCAAGGACCACTTAGGTAGACCAACCTAACTTACACCTGCATGGTTAAGTTCTCTTCCAGAAGATAAATTTTATTAGGCACTTTTCTGATTTTAATCATGTGTCCATACACAACTTTTCACACTCTGATATGAAATGGAGCACTTCAGCTACTTATGTGACTGGAATAGGTTTTCGGTCTTGTTGCTGAAGGTAAAGAACTTGCAAGACCAAAACACTGCTTGCCTACCCTTAAAATGAAATCACCTGCATTTTTTGATAGTTGTCATTACTAAGCTTTTATTAATTATTTTTGGTTTTAAATACTTCCGCAGTATTGCCATATGCTCATTTTTTAGATCTCCAGAGTTACTTGTTCAATAGCACTAACAATTAAATTTTACATTTGCATCTTGTGAAAATAACATATTACATGGGCTAGGTAAGAAATATCCAGGAGTAGCAAGAGTACTTTCTTTTAGAGTTGTTACATTTATTTGCTTCATATGAATTGCAGATTGAAAAAAGTCAGAATTTAAAATAAAACCTAATAATGTTTATCAAATAAGTAATGAATGAGAATGATATTACAATACGAGTAAGTCTTAAGTCAGCATATTTTGTTAACTTGAGAAATAACATTTAAGGCTTTCTGATCCGGTATATGATAATCGTCTAGTAGGAATTGGGTATGATACTTTGTAAAAATTATGAAACCTTGTTAAATTAATCTACTGTTTCGTATTTACTGGGAAAGAGAAGGAGATGGGTGGGAGAGACTCAGGAAGAAACAGAACAGTCAGTAATCAAAATAGTACCCCAGAATGTATATACATTAGACTTTATTAACTTGCTGAAGGCCATAACTCTCAAGCTCTCAGGTGAACTGTCATGATTTTATTTAAAAGCATTTGGTGATGAGAGAGAGTCAAAGCTCTAAATCATCTTGCAATTTTTTTTCTCAACCCAATGGTGATAAATCACGCCTATCAGCATTCAGGACTTTTTCAGATAATGATCTAGCAAATAAGGAAGATTTTCAGTGAACAGCCCTTATTTGTTTTGAGTTTTCATTTCTGTTACTCTGACTCTTGTTAGTTTCAAAGTAAGGTGCGCTTGATTTGCTTTGATACAGGATCCACTAAAGTCCTTCGTAGGGAGCCTCATCAGATGGCGGTCATATAGGCACATTAGATAGTTTTAGATAGCAATGGAAAACAGTGCATTGATTCAGCGTGTGAAGGTAATTTAAATGCAGATGCTACACCACTATTGGTTGGTATAATTACGTAATTGCTCATTGTAATTGTAACTACCTATATTTACCTTATTTACTTACATATAATTACAACAATTACGTGAATACAGGATAATCAACTAGAAACTATATTGAAAATATTTAAATTATTCATATTACAAAGTAGTAGCTAAAAACTAGGGGACAGGTGCAGGGATAAAAGACAATAGGAATCTCAGTCTCCTCAGATCTGGGTTAATAGCAGACAGTGGGAGTTTGGGAAATATCACTGACAATTGTCTACTGGGCTGGTCCATTATTCACACAGGTGGTGTGTGAATGTGGGAGTGCTAAAAGGCACATATAATTTTCAGATTCTTCTTCTTCTCTCTCTCCTGCTCACCTATAAAGCCAGAAAGATTTCCTAACTTGTGCGTGTCCAGGTGTCAGTTCTCCCAAAAAGCTTTTGAACCTGTCAGTCAATTCAAACTCAATTGATGGGGAAGGTGAATGTCTCAAAAATACTTAGCCAGCCACCTTTACTTTTTTTAACCAAAACCAAAACAGGAGTAATAAAAAAGAAGACTGCTCCTGAACAAGACAGTGTGGCATGCCTTTGCTTTTTAGTAGACAGCAGAGAAGCCACACGGGGTGAAGGATTGTGAAAGCCTCACCTAACAAAAAAATTATTTGTGTTTTGCTCCTTGTCGGTGAACTGGAGAACCTGCTCCTTGCTGAAGTCTGCTCTCCTGTAAGGCATTC